ACACACACACACACACACACACACACACACACACACACACACACACACACACACACACACACACACACCTGGGATTTAAACAGTCCACTTACTTGTTCCAAGCTTGTCGGAGCTTCTTGGGGCTGTAGACGGTGAATCTGTCTGTAAGGAGAGAAACACAGAGCAGCTGTGAGAATAAAGTCGGACCACCTGCAGCAACAGATAATCATAATGAGCAACAGAACAAATGATTGTTCCAGTCTCTACAGATCCTTTAATGGACCAGAGAAAAGACCAGAACCATGACCCGGTGAAGTGAGCGGCTATGGTACCAGTGGGTCAGATGTTCCGTTTGATGTAAGAACAGTTTGTTGTTAATGTRGTTGGAAAGAAAAGAAGTGAGCAACCCTAAAGATTTTATTAACTTTAACAACTGGTAAACAGCCGCGGGGGTCAGGACCTGTCCAAATGGACCCAAATGGACCCGTGAAGGAAAACGTAGCGGGTCAAGGAAGGCCTGGGTTGTACAGTCCAATGGAACAGAAAAATAGTTTCTGGATGACATTAAAATGTTTTTTTTTTAATTCTTGTTGGCAGATGGGTCAGGGTGCCCTGGCTTTGTGACACCCCCCCCCCCCCCACGTTTGAAAAAACAAAACACTGCCCCCCTAATCATTTTCAGCAATATAAAGAAAAGAAAGCTAATCACCATTTGTCATAAGCAAAATGTAATCTATGCCTCTCAAACATCATGTTCTGATATGTTACACTAAAATATAACAACAGAAGTAAAACATAAAGAAAGTTTCAACAGGAAACTGGATTTCTAAGAATCAACTGAGTAAACAATTGTCAAGTCTTGATTTTAGTTCCCTCACTGAGGAAACACCTGAAGACAGAAGCAGCTGAACAAAAGAAAACAATGTTTTTCCAAACAAACCATTTCCCGTGTGAGGTTTAAGCATCAAACAYCAGCTGCTGCAGCTTCTCCTTTTGTCCACACATCTAAAGCTTTGAGTGATTTTTTTCTCAGGGATAATTTTCAGTTTCCARGTGAACCTCACAGTGACTCAGCACTGCCACCTGCTGCTGACTCAGCACATCCYCACAACCGTCCTCTGGGTGTTAGATCAAAATGTTTCATTTATTCATCAGTTTGTGAGCAAACGTGTTCATTTTAAATGTTTTATATGCTGCTTCCTCTGCATCTTAACGTACAGATGGAATTATTCTATAGTTTAACTGGTTGTGTAAAAGCTACACATTTARTGTGTACTTTTGGACTTTGGACATTTATTTTAATTGTAAAATAAAGACTGTTAAAATACTGTAGGTTGTTTAGCTTTTATATATTTTTAAATTATATTGTTAGCTTTTATGCTAGTGCTGAGCTAATATATATAAGGCAATATAGCGTCAGTGCTAGCACAAAGGCTAACAGGCTAAGCTGAGGTTCTCCATCCACGAAGCAGCTCTGTTGTCCCTCCATCATCATTTTCAGTAGCAGACTGTGTCATTTCTACATGCTCCTGTCTATCAAGGCGCACTGGCTTCAATTGAAAGAGCTGATTGTCAGATTTTGTCCAAYATTAACCTTCAGGGTGGATGGAGCTCGCTCGCAGCCTCTCATGGACAACTTAGTCTGTGTCGTCATTTACCCAGCATGCTTTGRGGCGTTAATAAAATGGTTCCGTCCATGTGATTTAAAAGAAATATGTAAAAACTAATTAGCCAACAGTATTTTAACAGTCTTTATTTTACATTTAAAATTAATATTTATAAAGTCTAATATTACAAGTAATCTTGGACCCCTTTAAAGTAAAGGAGACAACAGTATCAGTACAGGTTAAGTAGGAAGCTAACTCCTCTTCTATTCATGTATTTTTATTGCTTTCAAAACCTTTTAGAAGTTGCAGTTTTCCTTTTGGATCATRTTTAAGGTTTCCAGCATACTTTCTGTGTTGTCCTTTTTTCACCTTGGTCATGGAAGAATCTTCAGATTAAACTAAAGCTTAAAACCTAAAACTGATCTTTGTACGTGTTTTATGTTGACTCTGAATCATTTGAAGTATGGGTGGGTTGTCGTGTCTCTGACTTCTTCAGCATGAGCTCTTTGTTTAAACATCCAATGGAAACAGAATAAAGTTTACTGATTGGAAGATCTTGATCTGAAGAACTTTCAGAGTCGATTTCGTTCAGGATGTTCACCACAGCTAACAAACGTCAGCCAACATAAAAGGACTCTTTTAATGCTTCTTTTTGTCTAAAAGTACATTTTCCTCAGATGATTTATGACTTATCCTCATTTTTCCAAAACTGGGAGGTCCAGACTCTAACCACGACCTGGATTTCCCTCCAAGTGAGCGGATAACGAGTGCTAACTGTTGCCATGGTGTGTGTGTGTGTGTGTGTGTGTGACCATGACAGTTGG